AAGCCTGGGTTTTGCCAGGCGAGTACTGTAGGGCATTAAAACGAGAGAAACAAGGGAATAAAAGGGGTGTTTGCAACAAAGAGATCAGAATGATGGATTGGGAATCAAAACTGGATAAAGAAGGAAGTAATACAGGAGATGGGTAGGGATGAAGGAGTAGAGCGTTCTTGAAAAGACTGAGAAATTGCTAGAGAGTGGGTACTAGGGAAGCTGAGCAGAAGGATTGAAGGTGGTGACAGTCAGAGGGTGGGATGGTTGAAAAGGAGATTTTGGAGGAGATGCAGTTGGTCATCAGTGAGGACGAGGTCAGATGAGTCACTGAGGACAGGAGTGAGTGGCTCAGGTGAGATGAAAAGTCACTGGAGAGAGAAGGAATTGAGAAGCCTAAGACATTTGGTGGAGGTCAAGGTGATGGATACAGTAGATTAAATTATAAGACTAATCATAAAAGTTGTTCACAAATATCTATAATTAGATGTTAGATGTAGTATCTAGTTCAATAAAGATACCACTCATAATATAAGTACTTTAAATTAAAATTTTTTTATTAAAAAATATTTTGAAGGGATTTATGGGACTTCAAAGAACAAAGTTTCACTCACATCTACGTTTTTTGTTGGGTAAAAATACAAGGCATTTTTTTCCGTGTGAAACTTCTTTGTATTTTGATATCTTTTCTTTTCCTTCTGTGAGTTATTTTAGGCAGCTACTCCATTAACACGATCTTTTGAAAAGGGGACCTGTTTTTCCCTCTAAAATCCTTCATGTCATAGCTTGTTTCTTCTAAGCTGGACTTTGCCCTCTTGTACTTTCTTCATAGATTTTTCACTGTTTTTTTTAAAAACTCTTACTCCCATATTTACTCTTTTTCTCAGATGTTTGTTTCCTTTCTTCCTGCTCCATCTCTCGGTTCCTCAGATTCCTTTCCTTAGGAGAACAAATTGGGAGGTTTTCCAAAGCATGCTGTGAGAAAAGTCTCTAGACTTCCTGGGGGTGGGAGCTGTGAGCACTATTTTCTATCCAGTGAGTGTTCGGATTACAGGGCCAGGCCTCAGGTGCAGGTCCAGCTTGCCAAAGGTGGTCTCTAAAACATGAAGAAGATTGCTTTGCTCCTCCCATCTCCTAATCCCTCTTCATAAACTCAAAAGTTATTAATTGGGAGTCTATTCTGTGTTACTCATTGTACTGATTAAAGTAATTGACATCAACGGGCAATGACTGATCGGCTTAATACTCTCATGGGCACTCACATTTCTAAAATGTGCATATTAATCCAAATAAATCCGATTCATGGAAAGAATGTGAAACAAACCGTTAACACTCTATTTGGGATTTTCTGTGACAGAACAGAGGGGCTCCCTTTCTCCTGCGGCCCCAAATCAGCCTTCCTATCCCTCAGAAAGTGGGCTAGGACAACAGAACATTGGGGAGTGGAGTTTGTGTGCACGCACCTGTGGGTCTGTGTGACTCCACGCACCTCACCTAGAAACCTCTCTAGCTCATGATCTGTCTTCTTCGCCCACGTTTTAAATCATAACCAGAGATGCTCATATATGGGTTACGGCTAAACCACATTATTCTTAATAAGTTCTTGATCTCCGGATCCTATTCCCATAGAATTTCCCATAGAAAATTCTTCAAATATTCAATTTTATAAAGGTGTGCAGGAGCACAGTCTTAGAATCACGGACGTTCGTGTATCCTGATTCTTTTAATTCGGTTGTTCGTTACTGGAATATACAGAGTGAGTAGGGAGTCAGAGATGAGAAGCATCAGAAGTCAAGGATTCCGTTTCTCAACCTGGTCTGGACTACTTGGGTGATATCTCATCCTCCAATCGCTATGCAAATATGAGGAAAAGGGCCCTGGCCGGGAGACAGTACCGTGCACCGGTTAGTATAGGGTGCTTGAAGGTCAGACAGATTTGAGGGCCGCTCTCAACCCGACTCCTATTAGCTCTGTGACCTTGGGCAGGTCACATAGCCTTAGGTAGTACAGCTTCTATAAATAGTAATAAATTATTCTTGCTTAAAGAGTAGCCGATAAGAGCCGCCCTTTCGTGAATCAACCCACTCCATCCATGACCTGTGTCTGCGATAGAGACTCTGCCTCGGGAGGGTCTCTTTTAGGTCCGGGAGGTTCTCTTTTAGGTCCGGAAGCTTCCCCAGGGAGGGCTGAGGGGGAGCTGTGGAATAGGTATGGAAGGAGACAGGGCTCTTTCTCCTTCATATCTGCTAGGGGACTGACCTCCTTGGGTCCGCTATGTGCCCCCCACTTGCCCGTCTGGGCGCTACGCGGTGGGATAATTGTGGGACCTGGGGCAGCAAGCAGCAAGCGTCTTCCTCCGCTTCTCTTCCAGGGAGTCCGCGCGAGGAGCCTGGCTCAGCCGGGCGCGTTGAATTCCAGCTCCCAGCCCTTGCGCTTCTCTTATCTCAGCAAAGTCTTGAACCTACATCCTCGTACCTTTCCAGGCCTTCCGCGAGCAGCTGGCACGGGACACAGAAGGAAAATCAAGTTTCTGAAATAAAACCAATATGTAGAGTGAAATCAGCCGAGCTTCCTCCTGGTGCCTGTTTACAAGAGGGAAGTCAGCGGGGCCCCCAAGAGGTCGCTGGTGGCGCAGAAACCGAACCGAGGCCAGATTGCAGAGAAAGGGAGAAGACAGAAAAAACACCCAGAAACTTTCTTCCTCGTCGAGAAGAATCGCCGCCCCCCCCCCCCCCCCTCCAGCAGAAGCAGTAATGTGACACCGAGCGAAACCCGGAGACCCGAGCGGAGGGAGGGAGGGAACAGGGAGGAGAGAGGGCTGCGGAGAGCCGGAGGGAGAGAGGGGAGGGAAGGAGGAAAACCCCTGTCAAGGAGGNCCTCCCCCGACCAGGTCTCCCACAGCAACCTCTCCTCCGGCTGATATCTGCTACTCTCATCATCTATTTTCTCATCTGTCAATGGGGAAAGTAAGATTTTTCCCTTGTTGTGAGGATTGTGTGAGGTTTGAATGACTTAATTCACATACAATAAGTAGAACATAGTAATACTAACAATTTAGCTATTAATTACAAAGCATTTGAGATATAAAAGCCCCTTTGTTTAAATGCTTTATTTATTTATGCTTGCTTGGTTGGTTGTTTATGTTTTTTAGGCCTTGTCTCTTCAAGAGGGGAAGAAGGCTAATGGGGTACATGGGTGGAGAGCCCCTCTAATTCTTTGTGTGTGTGTGTAGCTGTGTGCAGAAGGCTGTGCTG